TACAAGGTTGTTGAGCTCAACGACTAGTTACAAGTTGTTCTAACAACTTGATATCAACAATTTGTCAACAAGTTGTGATTGACAACCAGTGCCGCGCTGCCAGGGGAAGCCGGGGGGCCATGCCCCCCCCCCCCAGCTGGCAATTCTTGGGGGGCACAAAAATGAAAAGGGGTGATAATGTAAAGTTGTGTATGCAATTTAGTTGTTTGTGCAAGAAACATTATGACTCATGAGTAATGTAAGTAATAAGATATATAATGCTGAAATGCATCCTTTTGGCAGCCAAGCAAGGTAACCTTAAAATGCATATGCGTGGGGTCCTTGTGTTATTGTATAAAAGAGCTGTAAGTTATAAATGTATTCAGATCATTAGATCAGTAGCGAATAGAATTGGGAGTAGATTAATCGCTAGAATTAATTAAATTCTAACCAATTTGCGAATTTTTGAATTGAATTGAATTGAATTGAATTTATTACAAAATATGAATGGCAGCTAAGAGCTGAATTGTACAGAGTTGACATTTAAAATACATGGTAAAACTAATACATATAGTAATATACGGTATATTAAAACTAAAATTTATATTACAATTAAAATGAATCATTATATGATACGATACTAGAAGGAATAAAACTTTTACTAAATCTTGTAGTCTTACAATTAATTAAGTTAATATGCTGATCGTTACGTAAATTGTAAGTACGTAAGTCCTCGCGTTTATTAGGGATAAGTTCATTCAATTTATTTTCCGGGTTGAGAAGTTTCTTAAAATAGGATTACATAAATTATTTCGTCTTTGAGAGAGCAACGACAATTCATGAACTTCCAAGGCTTTGCGGTATGACAGTTCAGGACATATTATTCGTAGGGCTCGCTTCTGAATTCTTTCGATTTCTTCCTTTAAATAGTCAGGGGAGTTTAAGTTCCAGACCTGGCATGCATATTCAAGCACAGGTCGTATACATGTGGTATAGACTTGAATTAGAGAACTCCCTCCAAGACCGCTGCGTTTAAGCACTCGGAGAAAAAAAGTCTCTTTGATGCCTTGTATACTATGTGTTCAACATGTAAGTTCCAACTAAGATCAGAAGAAAAGTACAGACCAAGAACCTTGGCTGATAAAACTGGGGACATACAGTGATCTTTAATAAACAATGGTCGAAGATTAGGGACGTCCTTAGCGAACGAGATAATTAGTTCTTTGCATTTAGAACGATTAAGCATCATATCATTTTCCGTGCACCATTGATCGATATTATTAATAACAGATTGCAGGTTACTTTGACAACCTTTACCGATTGTTTCGGAGAGACTAGTGTCATCAACATATTTCCATCTATCTTTGTGGTTAATAGCCAAATCGTTGACCATGATAAGGAAAAGTAATGGGCCAAGGATTGTACCTTGCGGGACGCCTCCATTTACCAAGGACCAATCAGAGAACGAAGAACCCAATTTCACCCTCTGTCTTCTTTGCATCAGGAAATCAATAACCCAGTTTATTAAGGATTTATCAATATTTAGTAATTGCATCTTTTTTATCAGGATTTTGTGGTTGATTCTGTCGAATGCTCTACTAAAGTCAAGCAGAAAAATACGAACAGTCTCGCCATTGCCGTCTGTGTTAGAATACCAACAGTGAAACATGCTAATTAATGCGTCGACTATCGTAGAAGAGCCTTTTAACGATCCGAATTGCTTTGGGTCCAACTGAGACTTAATGGTATCCATAATCCATTGAAATGGAAATTATTCAAGAACCTTTGAGAGCGTGGCGGTCAACACGTATTATAATGCCGTTTTCAACACGTATTATAATGCCGTTTCCTGACCATCAGATTTCTGTCAAACCTTCCCCCCAAAGTCCAGGAAATGGCATTTCAGAGACCCTGAAATTTTCAAAGGGGGCATGCCCCTGCATGGACCCCCTATAGAGAAACCTCGCACCTGCTGCTCTCGCGGCTCGTGCCTTCGGCCCTTGTTTATTAAGCGTTGCAATATATAGGGGTCCATAATAGTTGATAGCCCACTCCCCCCCCGCTAGAAAAATAGTACCCAGCACGCCACTGGTGACAACCTTGTAGCAACTTGATAAAATAACAACATTGTTACAACTTGTAGACAAGCTTGTTACATGTACAAGCCTTTTGCAAATACATCTTGTTGACAAGTTGTGAGATTTTTGTGTGTTTGCGCGAAGTTCGCGTGTGATCCATCTCAAATGCGCAAAATGGTCAATAATGAAAATTTTTCAGCACCTTTTAATGGTGTCTACAGATAATGAAGATATTGATCGGCATCAGTTATGTTCTCTTACAAACTGCAAATTCTATCTCTTATTTCAGTTATTTTCAATAGCAAAAATAGATGATCTTTGCATATCAATAATCCTAAAATCCTATCCAAATAATCCATAATCTTTTTTTAACCAGCAATAATCCGTAATCCTGCCCAAAAATGCCAAATAATCCATAATCCTAAAACCCTAACAGGGCCTCACTTAAATTCAACATTGCTTCAATTTCAACATGTTTCTCTCATTGATGTTAATTTGAATATTGAACATGTCAAATTTAAGTGAAATACAACATTGAAGTATAGATATTGAAGTAATTTTCAATGTTGAAGTTTCAAAACATGTTGAAAACGCATCACTACATGAATTTGAGAAGTGAATATTGGCGGTTATATAGCACCGCGTTAAATATCCGCCAATATTAATTAACACTTCGTTTAAGCTTCCCCCTGGCATATTCCTATATGGCGGCTACGAACGAGCGGAATCAGTGATGAAAATCATGGTGCACTATGGTGGATATAAAACTGAACATTATTGAGGATATAATATCACGATTAGACAGCTAGCCTTGGTGACCCAGATTGTGTAGAGGGATTGGCAATACGATTTGACGTTTTAAAGAGATATCTTGTAAATATTAGAATCGACGACATCTGCATGCACTTTGCAATTGCTGGATAGAGTTTGCAAAAATTTAAACCAATTTGAGCAGCGGCAGCGCTATTCCGCCATGAATAACTCCGCATTTCTAGCACAAGTTTATGCCGTGGAAAACCTTCGTAGGTCCTTTGTATGCTATACACGAGGGGCAATTGAATTTTTTATAGCGAAGTAAGCAGTATATGATTATGATGAGTGTACGCAAAGTAGTTGGAGCGGCGAATGAGGTCATTTGGCACGAGTGTGTCAGGTAAGAAAGTTATGCACATCCTACACGGCCGACACAGTAATTATATATATGCAACACGTAGTGTGTATATAGCGTCTTATCATCAGGATTTAATATGATTGACTGCACATTAAGTTTTATACAGAACTACGTATATAGCATAGAATGAGAACGAGAATACCTAGGTATTTACATCTTTCATCTGCACTTCATTTTTTACCGTTTGAAGAAAAAGGTTAGCTTATAGTAATGCACTGCTGAGCAGACATAAAAAGCCCATGTCAGTGGCAGCAGGGCGGTTGGTGGCAGTCAGTCCACTCCAGGAACTTGGCATTTTGGATTAATTCATGAAAACTTGAATTTTATTGAAAACTGAGCTTTCCAGTCCTGTTTTCGTTTAAGGTCGGCAAACCGCAAATGACCTGATCAGTCTTCGCCAATTAGAAGTTGTGGTTTCATCTACATGTATGCATTACATTTACATCAGTTTCCCTAGGTTTGTCGACTTGGGTTTAACATATACAGTGCTGCATAACCACTGTGTTGGCCATGTATAGGATGTGTATAAGCCATAACTTTCTTACCTGACATACTCGTGTCAAATGACCTCATTCGCCGCTCCAAAGTTATTTTGCGTACACCCATCATACTGCTTACTTCGCTATAAAAAATTCAATTGCCCCTCGTGTATATCATACGAAGGACCTACGAAGGTTATCCACGGCAAAAACTTGTGCTTGAAATGAGGAGTTATTCATGGCGGAATAGCGCTGCCGCTGCTCAAATTGGTTTAAATTTTTGCAAATCCTATCCAGCAATTCCAAAGTGCATGCAGATGTCGTCGATTCTAATATTTACAAGATATCTCTTTATAACGTCAAATCGTATTGCCAAGCCCTCTACACAATCTGGGTCACCAAGGCTAGCTGTCTAATCGTGATATTATATCCTCAATAATGTTCAGTTTTATATCCACCATAGTGCACCATGATTTTCATCACTGATTCCGCTCGTTCGTAGCCGCCATATAGGAATATGCCAGGGGGGAAGTTTAACGAAGTGTTAATTAATATTGGCGGATATTTAACGCGGTGCTATATAACCGCCAATATTCTCTTCTCAAATTCATGTAGTGATGCGTTTTCAACATGTTTTGAAACTTCAACATTGAAAATTACTTCAATATCTATACTTCAATGTTGTATTTCACTTAAATTTGACATGTTCAATATTCAAATTAACATCAATGAGAGAAACATGTTGAAATTGAAGCAATGTTGAATTAAAGTGGCATGCTGAATTTGATATGTTCAATGTCGAAATTCACTTCAATACGGAAACATGTTGAATTAATATCAACATGAATATTGGCGGAAATCTGACGCCATATCATATTACTATCGGCGGAGTATTACTGGCTGATATTGAGTTTCTGTACGCTAATCAGCACGTGACTCTGCAATTCCTAGTATTTTATGCAAATGAGCTGAAATACTTGGAAATCGGCCGCGGCATGTTTTTAGATAAACAGCAAAACGAAACTAACACAAAAGCAAAACTCTGGCAAAAACCTAAACCTTGAAAAATAATTCGCTGGGAAATCATAAAAATTATTTCTAAGTGCAATTTAGTTCTCTAATCGTAATTTATCAATCGTTACTAACGATATATAACTAATAACTAATGTTAACACACAATGAAACAGCAGGACAACCATGAGTGTATTCTTCACTGACATTGAACGCGTGCACAATATAAATATAATTATGTAGCCGGGATTTGGATTTGATGATGTTAATTAAAAAACTTACCCCTTTATACCTCTCGAACCTTATTTTCTTCTGACCTCCAAGCAATGTTTTCAACTTCATATTTTGTTCTATGTTGCTTGTAGGGAAAGCACCCAGATGTACGTGGTACATGAGTATTTCAGGCAGACGAGTGGTGTTCAAGAGCAAACTTTTAGCATTCATGATTGCTTTGTTAGTTGGCGCGAATACGGTGTAACTCGTGTTTGTAACATTCAGCCTATCAAACAGCTTTGCGTTCATAAGAAGAGTTCGGAACGAAGTCAAATTGTATTTTTGTAGTACGAGATCGAAGTCGATTTCAGGATTATTTACTCGTTTGTTCACTTCAGCAATTAGTTCATCATCACCGACTTGCAGGAGGAGAGAGTGACACAGGGAGACGACCGACAAAGTGAACAAGATTACGATGCAAATCTTTCCATTCATCATTAGTAACGTTGTCTGCACAATTTTTTTCACTGCCCCCACGTGAAGCACCCAGTCAGAATGAAATTGGGAGTGGGTGAAGTTCGTAGCTATCAAGATTATCGACCAATTGTATGTTCGCACTTTATTTACGTCATTAAGAGTGCACCAATCACTGAGTGGCAATATTTAGTATTACCTTATATGGAATAGCGTCTGTCAAAACGCATTGAAATGAATATAATTGAAACGCTACCTCCTACCGGAAATCATTCTCGTACCCAGACCCTTCTTACGCGCGTTCGACCGAGCGCGACGAGGGGCTCTGGCCAAATCCATAACCGGATACCATAAAAACATGGTAAGAGAACAATATCCGGTATTAGAACTATGGCCAATCAGATGCCAGTTTGATATGTATGGTAAGAAGGGCTCTGAGTACGAGAATATGAAGTGATATTCCCTTCAAAATGCAACTGCGATTTTTGTTATGCAACATTGTATTTTGATAAACTAATTTTCTTTAACAAGGCTGTATTTTGGAACACTGTATTATGCAAGCATGCTTGTATCCTGGTATACTGCAATGTGCAAGCTTGTATTTTGGAACATTAAATTGTGTAAGATTGCATTATGGAACATTATATTATGCAAGCAATATTATGGAACATTAAATTGTGAAAGCTTGTATTATGCAAGCTTGTATTGTGAAACACGCGACGCGCGAGTCGAAACACGTGCTCGTTCGAACCGCGTGTTTATAACGGTCTTGAAATAAAAAATGGCTGATCAACAAACAAACACTGGTCAGTCAAACTTCACACAAGTTGTTAGCTTGTTGAGACAAGCGGAATCTTTGCTTTCAAGTGTATCTAATAGTGATAACACAGTACCTAATAATACAAATGCATCATTAAGGCACCTAACAGTTCAACCGTGACAGAGAATTCGAATGTGGATAGTGTGCCATCAGTCGCGACAACGTCGACAAGTTCTGATAGATCCTTGGCGAACTTTCGCTCGCTTTTTTCCAGTTACAATCGTGGGTCATTTCGGCAAAATTCATCTCGTGCGTCTTCGGCTCCACCGCCAAAACGAAAACGAACACTTTCTCAGTTTGTACCCAAAGATACGTGGATCCTTGAATTGTTTTGTTTGGCTGATCGCCATCAAAACTATCAACCAACTCGAGGACGAAAATGTGACCTTCAGCTTGCTGGGTTAGGAAAAAAAAAAATAGTTTTTAAAAAAGATGGTAGTGCATCTGCTTTTGTGGGCAAACTCAAAGAATATTTTCCGAAGCTTCAGAATTGTGGTGGCTTCGAAATCCTTCGCAGCGGAGCTAGCAATAAAGATTTGGTTGTAATACATCCACCGCCATCTGGTTACTCTGTGCCCTTTTTGAGAGAGGCATCCGGATTAGGCCAAGCACTGGCATACATCAGACCAATTCAGTCCTCTCTTAATATGGATCAAGTACAACCAAACTCGAGTCAGGTACTCTTAGCATAATTTTATCATTACAATTGTTGTTATCTCAAATTGTTTACCACATTGAATATTGATGCCCAACACAGGGTGTTCAAAGTACTGAGTTGCACTGCACCTAGATGCGCCCTCCTTTGTCACTCTACCTAACATTGGACAATCTTACTTGTCAGGGAGAGAGAACTTGGGAACTGAAACCAATTCCCCTTCCCTGCCCCCCCCCCTACTTTTTGCCTCATCACAACAATTTGTGGGTGTTGAACCCATTAAAGTGCAAGACTCTCCTCCTGACAGAAAATTGTCTGGCATTAGACAGAGCAAGGAAACAAATAAAGTAGGGTGCATTTGATTAATGGGTTATAAGACAAATAAAGGTAAATGTACTCCACACACCCCTCCCTTGGTGTTAATTAGACACATTGTAGTAGACAGAGTAACATAATTGAAGTAGGACAAATTGCATGTTGGCTTTTTAAGTCCCAGTGTCTAATATACTGTATAAAAAAATAAATAGAAATGATCTATAAAAAGGAAAAACAATGTTGAATAGCAAGTACCAAAATATAGATGTTTACTAGTAAGAACAAATATTAATAGCTGTTGTATTTTGAGTAAATTGCAATAATTTAGTCAAAAATATAAATTGTATTTGAAGGACATGTTATCCAACTCAGTGCAATGCCCCCAGGTCAAGTGCAGACATTGTCACCAAGAGTTGCTTATGACAGAAGTTCGCCAACACCAGCAACTGTGTCCAGAAATTTCAAGCAGTTATTCACTTGATGGGTTAGTATTATTAAGTTATAAAATAGATGGAGACTGATCAAGGAGACTGAAGTTTGAATATACTGTCGGTGTCTTATGGCCCACAAATAGCTATATATAAATACTGTGGATACACCAATAATACTTGTATAATCCATTTTTCAATTTTGTTAACTCCTGCTTAATTTAAACATGTTTGTTTTCACACAGTTTTTTAAACATGGATGAGGACGAGGACGATGATTTGGATGATTTGGTAAGGAACAGTACTGTATTTTATTGGACAGAAGTCAAAGTCATTTATATTAATAGCTACAGTATTATAGGAGGAGACTATTTCTGAGGTGTAAAAAGCATTTGACTGATTACATTTTGCATTCCCTTGGTCTCAATTTACACATGTAAAAATCTCACATCTTGTAACAAGTCTGCAAACAAGCCGTCAACAAGATGTATTCGCACTGCTTGTCACAAGTTGTCAACAGATTTGGAACAACTTGTTGACAACTTGTAACAACTTTGTTGAAATTATGCAAGGTTGTTCTGACAAGTATGTTGCATGCTTGGTAATTGGTATAACAAGATTGTTACAACCTTGTGTTGACAACCTTGTAACATCCTTGTTATATCATGGTTGTAACAAACTTAATGTTAGCGCAGTATTGTAACAATGCTAATGCCATCAAGCTTGTTACAAGTTGTTAACAGCTTGTTCCAAACTTGTTACAACAAACTGGGAATAAGCAGTGTGAACACAACTTGTTGACAGCTTGTGAACAGACTTGTAACAACTTGTTTGCAGACTTGTTACAAGCTGTGCGTTTTTACGTGTGTACATGAATGTCGACATGTCAACTGTAAATGCACATGACCTAAATACTGAGACAATGAAACTAT